AATTCTCGGCTGACCTGACTTGTTAATGCTTCCATTATTTTGACCCTAGTGTGGATCGTGCATAAATTCTTCCGCTTTGAAAACAACAGTAGTTGTAGTCTTCCACAAGATTAAAAAATAAACGTCAGTCACAGAGAAAAATGTTGCCAACACTGATGGTGGCAAACCTTATGACCGAGATGAATATAATTATCTTAAGTTTTGAAATCAGGAGGCGAACAAGGTTATCCATATACAAATATGTTGAGTAAATTATCTTTAATACTTTCTTCCAGTGTCAACAAAAAGGACATGCTATAATAATTATGAAGTGTCTAGTTTGGACAGAGATGTAAATTTGATTAATAAGTTATAAAATGCTAAGGGATAGTTCACAGAAGCTGAAATACTGAGTTTCTTTAACATGAGCAGTTTAATAAGCAGAAGTTTGAACCGAAAACCCAGCACTGACTTCTTTTCTAGTCCTTACTTGTCTGGCTAACAGCTGTTAAATCGGTTTCAATTTTCCAATGTAAAAAATAAATTATATTTTCAACTATATATTCCGCTCCACACATATATACTATTTCTTTTTAATTGCTGAGGAGGTTTCTGAGGATAGTGTATTAAGGAAACTGGGCAATTAAATTAGGCTGTTGTTAGGTGCCATCCAGTACAAACAGAAAAGAGTAAAAACACTTCCCCATCCTGCACCGTCCTCGTTTCTGCCACACTTAAACCCTCTGTTGCAGTCACTGTGTGAGTTCATCTCTTTGAGAGTCTTCCTCTGTTACACAGACCCTCCCTCCACCTTTCCAAGCATGATGTCTTCTCCCAAGGCCTGGCACCACCTAACAACATGTCTAAAGGATGTGACAGGGGGTTTCACCATCCTTGCCTCCGAAGAGCACCATGGTTTCACTTCCTCTGACATGGATTTGTTTGTTCTTTTGGAAATTAATACTCTTCTCCAACACCACCATTCCAAGGGCAGTGACTCTTCCTTGGTTTTCCTTATCCACTGTCTGACCTTCAGATGCATTCAATTGTTGTTAGGAGTCACCTGACACTCATAGAGACCCTACGTACAACAGCTCTGAACCCACTGTATCCTGAACCAACTTTACTGTCTCCGATACATCTACCCCCCATTACTCCAGTCACTGGAACAATTCATCTCATTAAGGGTCCTCCTCTCCTGAGCTGTCCCTCCACCCTCTCAAGCATTATTGTCCCTCTCCAAGGACTGGTTTCTCTCTGCAACATGGTCATGTCAGTTGGAGTTTCAGAATCCTTGCCTTCAAGGAGCAGCCTGATTTCACCCTCTCTAGGACACACCTGTTTGTTCTCTTAGCAGTCCAAAAGTATACTCAATACTCTTCTCCAGCACCACAGCTCAAAGGCATCAATTCTCCTTCTATCACCCCTAGTCACTGTCCAGCTCTCAGATGCATAGTACAAAACTGCGAAGACCACGGCTTGGATCAGGTACACCTTAGTCTCTAGCCAGACATCATTGCTCTTCAGTACTCTGGAGAGGTCTCTGACAGCAGACTTTCCCAATGCAATTTGTCTTTTGATTTCCTAGCTGCTGATACCAAGAGTGTTGATTGTGTAGCCAATCAAAATGAAGCTATTAACAATCTCAAATCTCTTCACCGTCCATCATGAAGCTGCTAATTGGCCCAGAGGTGAGAATCTTTATTTTCTTGATGTGAATACAGAGCAAATGAAAAAACAAAGAAACAAACAAAAAAACCCTTTGTCTTTAGACTGATGTCACAGCTCTTGAACACTTTAAAAAGGTCCCTGACAGTAGATTTACTCAATGTCTTTTGAGTTCCTAATTGTTGCTACCATAGGTGCTGATTATAGATTCAAAAGAAAAGAAAGTGGTGATAATTTCACGTAAATCATAATTACATGGTAAATTATTACCATAGTCACGGGAGTGGGGAGGAGTAAAGGCTATCTCTCCACTGCCGTCAAAGAATTTAATTTTTAGATTAAGACAAGTTAGAAGAAGTAGAAGAGGGTAGGAAATGAGTAGTGGATGAGGAAAGGAAATGTCCGCAGGCATAAGGAAAGCAGAGTTTCACAGAAGTGAACAGTCACAGAGGGCAAACACAGGTATTAAAAGCTACACATAGTTCCTGGATCATACATACAGTTAATTGCTCAGATATTAACCAAAAGATTCATGGATCAAACCCACCCCAAAGGTGTTTTGGAAGAAAGACCTGGCATTATACTTCCAAAGATCACAGCCACTGAAAAATCTATGGATCATGAGTCAGATTCTAATAATCACAAGCTGATTTAGGGATTTTTTTTGTTATTTAAAGAGATTATGTTTTTTATATTTCTCTAGTGCTAAAGAGCAATGAGATCGTTTTAGAGACTAAGGTGCACCTGATCCAGGTCATGGTCTTCTCAATTGTTTGCTATCTATGCCATCTGTGAGCCTAATACTGAACATACCCCAAGTGGCTTTCAATAAGAAAAGCTGCACAACAAGAACACTATAGTTGACGTCTCACGCAGTCCTTACAACAATCCTCTGTCAATACTTTTGTGCTGTTTCTATTTTACACAGGAGGAAAATGAGGCACAGAGAGGTAAATCGAGCATCTAAGTCACACAGCTGGCAAACAGAAGAGCAAGGGCACAAACTCAGGACACTGGGCCCCAAAACACAAATTCTTGCTCTGCTATGCTACGTGCTATGCTTCTACCAATCAGAACAGAAGCCACGGCGTTGAGTTTGGGTTTTGGATGCCAGACTATGTCTCGTAAGAAGACAAGCTGGCAAAATTCAGGGAATGAGCAAAGGGATCAGGAAGCCACATGAAATTTTCCTTTCACAAAATTTCAGGTGGTTAAATACCTGTCTCTGACTGACAAGTCTTTTTCTCTGTGCACGGTCATCGCGGATTGGCTGTTGCTATGGCAAACAATGACTAGCCGACCTTGGTAGCAATCATGCAGGTGAGATCCAGGAGAAGCGGGGAACAAAGACTGCTTCAATCAGCAGGGTTACAGAGACCCTCCAAATGAGGCGTCATGTGAGCAGTGTCACAAAAGAGTTTCAAAGGGCTGCAAAAATCTCTTCTGCCAAAGTGAAGTGGCCTGTCACAACAGCCCACAGCCACCACACAGTGACAAAAGCAGAGGACCTTCTGTGACATGGAGTTATAGAGTGTGCCGCAGAGTCAGAACCAACCCACAGCTGATCCTCCAGCGAGCGAGTTTTCAGAGGCAGCAAATTATGGGGGTGATTGCTCATCTTCTCCTGCAGAGTAGCTGGTGGATTCGAACCATGTGTCTTTGAGATTGCAGCATGGCTTCTTACCCCTTGGCCACCAGAACTCCCTAGGACCTAGAGTATTCCACCCTTCACTCTAAGGCCATAAGGTGCAGAGCTTCCCAAATGCCACTGCCCAGAAGAGTCACCTTGGGTGTCAGCAGACAGACCTCAGTTCTGCTGCTGATAATCTCTGGGTTCAGGAGCAAGTCTTTTCGACTCGGGGTCCACAAATGATGTCACTTATGCATTCGCCTTTCTCACTCATCCTTACCCTAAGTTTTCATCTGTAGGATTGATTACCTGGAAATAAAATGCCCCAAACCACCCGAGGTGTCTGAAAGGGAGATTTAAGGCTCATTTCTGTACATATATTATAGACAGTTAAGGGGGGGACCCTATTAAAAAGTAAAACCACTCTGAAAATACATGGTTTGCAAGGAAAAAAATTGTTGGCCAAACTCTTTTTGAGACTCACCTTCCAGGGTTAATGATATGCTGGATGTAATATTAAAAGATAAAATTTAATGCAACACCCATTGTAACACTTGAATGAGAGAGGAGAATGGATTTCTCACCCATTTAGGCCTGTGCAGGCCAACATGGTAGCTTTTAGTCATATGTGGACATCCAGCTCTTGAAATATGTCCAGTTTAAAGAGAAAATACACAGCAGATTATGATGATTTAGTGTAGCCAAAAGAATAGACCATTTCAATTTTACATAATTTCGTGAATATGACAGTATTTTAGATATGGAAGGTGGAGTAAAATATTTCACTAAGATTGGCTTCACCCATTGCCTTTCTAGTTGATAAATGTGGCTTTTAGAAGCATTTAAATCATAAATTTGGCTCACATTCTATTTTATTGGTCAGTTCTGATCGGGATCATTGCTGTTCAGATGTGGTTCTCCAACCACCACCAGCACGACTCAGAAGATTGTTAAAGGGGAGTTTATTCTCATCCCAGTACAAACCCAAACCTGCTGCTGTCAGGGTGACTTCTATTCTCAGGGAGCCTACAGCAATCCCAGACAGAGTTGAGCTGCCTAAAAGGGTTTCCAAGAATGAACTCTTTACAGGAAGAGGTCGCTACTTTGTTCTTCTTTTGTGGACCAGACAGGAGATTGGAACTGTTGGCCTTCTGGTCAGCAGTCGAGCATTTAACCACTGTGCTATCAGATTTCCCAGTCTTAACTCAGACTGACTGAATCCAGACCTCCATTTAACATTATCTCAGGTGATTCTTCTGCATATGTGAAAAAGATGAGACTAGTTTTTACCTATACCATATCACAAATAGATTTATATTTTTAGTATATAAAAGTAACTAAAAAGTATTGTGCTAAATTTTCTATACACTTTGGCAAAGGAATGGCAATTTAAAAAACCCCTATGTGTAAATGATAAAATTTAAAGTCTATATTAATTATATTAATACTGTAATGTGAATATTGGAGCTCTGGTGGCCCAGCGGCAAGAAGCTGTGCTGCAATCCCCAAAGGCACATGGTTCGAGACCACTAGCTGCTCTGTGGGAGAAGGACAGGGAATCTCCTCTCAAGTGCTTAACTACCTCTGAAAACCTTTTGGAGGGTCAGCTATGGGTCGGTTTTAACTCGATGGTAAAACAATAGCAACAACAATATTTATGCATATAAAGTTACACATGCACCATATGTATAGGTTAGGAATGAAGCTATTAAACTGAGGTCACCTTAGTTACTTCTGGATTTTCGGCCACCATGTAAGTGAAACTGATGTTGACCAGATCTGTGCCACTGCATACGCACACTATCCGCCCTTCCAGGTCGTTTTCCGATTTCCCAACAGCTTCGAGTGCAGCCAAGATTTTGGGGTCCTGTGTGGAGATTTAGAGTGGAGGAAAGACACTTTAGGTACACAGAACGGGGAACCAGCATAAAAAAGAAACCATGGTTTGACATATTGACACACCCACCTGGGGACACCTATTTCCTTTCTATGTAAACTTCCCAGATATATAGCATGATTCTAAAACCTGGAGTCATGTCGTATATGAAACCAACCATTCCTTGACTTGGTTTTAATAAGAAAGATGTGAGCATACTATTGCTTTAGAAAACTAGCAGTGAAGGTATGTCTTGAAATTTTTGGACCTAGTTTTTTTAGGTGCTGCATAGGGTAATGGTTGGCAACTGCCCATGTCCACAAAGATCAAGGAGTCTCCCACCGCGGGGGTCAGTCACTAAGGTTTGGCACAATCAGGACATCAGGATAATTGTGGTCTCCCCACTACCAGCAATCAAGGGCTACTCCCCAAAGTGAGATTACATCTTCCAAGTAACCAGGTTTACAAAGAATATTTTCATCTCCAGAAGCTTTGGCAGCCTCTATTGGAATGAAGACACTGTAAATTTACCCTGATTAGCCAATATAATACAACAGTGTCTCTGTTCTCAGAAAGAAACCACAAAAACACCGCTCAGGACAAAATGTCCACAGACAGTTACACAGAGAATTCTAATATAAAACATAGAAAATGAATATAAAAGATGACAGTTGTTTTTTAAAAAACCAACAAAGTGAGGAATGTAATTTTGTTTTGAACATCTTAAAAAGGATAATAAATGCGGTGCCAGAACATTCTAAAGTGGAATGTCTTTCAATGTCTTGGCATCATGAGACACCCAGCGTCTCATGGCTGACTGACATGCTCTGTCATTTCCTTCTCTTCCCTCCGAGGCGCACTGAGCCTTTCAGGTGAGCCACGGTCTGCAAGCCCAGGTGCACAAATATTGAACTACCCACCCACTAACATTTCCAAATCAGCCACAGGCCAACATGAGTCAGTTTGCTCAAAAACAGGGCCTGGTCAAGTTAACCACTCAGTTAAAGGAACTGTATCTTTGATGCTGATCTCACTCGAGGGTCGTCATTTTCAAAGACTCAAGCATTTTAATACAGTTGAAGATGAAGCTATCCAATTAGCCCAACAGTTCTATGACTCCCAAAGCTTGTCTGTCCCTGGCTAGGCTGTTTCCATTTAGGACATAATAAATACGCGCTTAGAACAACAACAGTCATCTGTCACAGGTACCTTGGGTGTGGCTCCCAACCGAATGCTGTTGATGAGGGAACATTCTAGCACTTGTCCTTCCTGGAGAGAGAGAATGGAACAGAGCAGGTAAGGTTCAATTCTGCCAGACCTGTGGCTGAACAAGGTGCCCAGGGATGTCGTGAGGGCAATGCTGACGACAGGAATGCCCAAGACAGAGTGAAAGGCAGACAACAAGGATCTCCAGTGATTAGAAATCATCAAGACCACTCCCTTTAAATGTTTGCATATATGATGGTTGAGCTTTGGTCAACCCAAAGGTACTCAGCTTGAATCCACCAGCTGCTGTTTCACAGGAGAAAAAGATGTAATCTCCATCCATCTGATTTACTGCTTCTGAAAACCCACTGGAGGGTCAGCTTTGGGTTGATTTCAACTCAACACTAACATAACAGCTATAGTGAATAATTATTTTTTTATTAATTTTAATGAACATTTACAGACATTTTGGATTTCTATTCATTCATTGTTGCACTTTTCTCCCTGCCCACCCCCCACCCTCAGTTTGCTCTTCTCTTTGAAAAGTAAAAGAAAAATTCCTTCATTGGTATACAATCCCCCCTCCCCCCGCCCCAAGCCCCGAGTATACTCCACTGTGAATAATTATTTTTCAAAAGATAGTTTATATAGATATATGTATTCATGGTTATCTATCATTGAATTGTGTGTAAATTAGGATAAAGCTAGCCTTACATGTTTACAATTCGACCTTTCTTAAAAATTCAGCTCACTGACAATATCCTGCTTAAAGAAAAGCTGTTTATCCTTTTTGGTTTTGCCTTTGTGGGTGAAATAAATCATCACTGATTAACATGCACAATTGTGAAAAACAAAATTTAGCTCAAATATGTATCAAATGTTATTATGCCAAGTGCTTAAGTTCTGACATGTAACAAAATACACTAAGATTTCATCTTGGATAACTCTTTCTTAGAAATCTTCCTAACCTCCACTACTAAACCAGAAACACCTGCGGAATGCTCCTGTAATCAACCTCCTATTGCCAGAGTTTTTCCCGCAACATCCAGTGACTTAGAACTTTAAAAAAAATTCCTGATTTAAAATGCATAGTAAAGTGGACTGTGGACTTGGGAGGGGATGGGACCACAATGAAAAAAAAATAAATTTTTTTTCTAAGGAGAAAAATGAACTGGGGGGAAGGAGTAGGTAGGTAGGAAAATATGCAACAATGAGTGGATGGAGAAAAAATTAAATGGAAAGAATATGCTGTAACAAGTATGTATGTTGCATTAAAAAAAAAAAACACAGGGAAAAAAATTCTTCATTTTGCTCTGGAAATGTCTGTCTGGAATCTCCGAGGGCTCGGATGCTGTTCTTGATGCTGGACATCACATTCATAAATCCAGGATGATTTCGGGAAGGAGCACTGGGTTCATGCTCATACTAATTGATTTAGTTTCCTTTTAGGAGAGAATCGGTTTTGCTGAAACTATAGACAGTAGTTAAGAATGACTGGCTGCCTCTGTGACATACCTTGCCTTCACTTCTCCAGGTCAGAAAGAAGCCAAATTCATCCACTTTGAAGAGACAGTTGGGCTCAAACACAAAGGATTCCTGTTATAAAAAAAAAAAAGTTCATTTGCATGACTCACACCATTTTATATCTAATAAAAATTCCATTATCTTCCAGCCTGTAAACAAGGGAAAACGAGAAATCACCCCTTGGCATACTGAATCCAATGACCACATTTCTTATTAAAGTATGGAACGCTTTACTTTGGTGTTTGTATTGACAGACTGATTATTCTCAGCATCTTCCTATTAGGACATACCTCCAAGGTACTAGAGACAGAAAGGTTTCCTAAAATCTGGAAGAAGAATTAAGGATGCTCAGTGTAGCCAAATGGTCTACCTTATTCTAAAAAGAAGTGTTTGTCTTCATCTGTTTTAATGCTGAAAGTCAGGAAATACAATTTCGCTGAGTTTTTATTTGCCTCTATATCCAACCTTATTTGGAGTCCTACAAACCAGGCCTTGAGGAGCACTTTGAGCGACTCAAAATGTACCGTCTCTGACCAACAGCATCAGCACTGCTTGACCGGCTGTAGAAGCTAAGGTCTCAGTTAAGACTCATGATGCAATGGTTGAGCTCGGCTGCTAAGAGGAAGGTAAAAGGATCAAGGAGAAAAAAGGTCCACAGTGGGTAAAAATCTCCACCAATCTGCTCTTGTAGGGCACTCTGATGGCCTCGTGGTAAGAACCTGCACTGTCATCCCAAAAGGCACACAGTTTTGTTTTGTTTTTTTTTTTATTAAATTTTATTAGTTTTAATGAACATTTACAGAGATTTTAGGTTTTCATTCATTCATTGTTGCACTGTTTTCTCCACCCTCCTCCCCAGTTCGTTCTTCTTCCCCCCACAATGTCTGTTTTAATTGTCCAATTGCCACAGTGCTTGTCAAAGCCAGTTCTGATTAATCTCCTTTGTCACTGTGTCCCTTGCCATTCCCTATCACTCCTCCCTGAGAGAGACTTCACCCTGATTCATAAGGAAAGGGAGATGGCGTATTCTCTTAGCTACTTCCTGCTGAAAAGGGACGCTGTGGGTTTCAGGGTGAATGTCTTCTCTAACTACTCTAAAGGGCCCCTTTGGCAGTAGGAAACACATAGACTATTATGGAGATTGATTCACCAGCTGCTCAGTGGAAGAGAAGGATGGGTAACCTCCTCCAGTGCGATTTACAACCTCTGAAGACCCACCAGAGGGTCAGCTATGGGTCGATTCTGACTCAAAGGCACACAACAACAAAAACAACACCAATCTGCTCATGTTAATACTACAGCCTAGGAAATGCTACAGGGAGGTTTTATGCTGCCCTATAGGGTCACTAGGAGCGCTGGTCAACACAAGGGTAGATAAACAACAGGCTCTCAGCCTGACCACAGCCTGGGTAGGGTACAGAAATCGGGGTCTCAACAAGCCCTCCAGGTGATCTGATGTACACTTCAGTTTGAGAAGCACTGTTGTGGATTTTGATACTAGAAACTCTTGTGAAAATGAAGGGAAATAAAATGTGAATCAAGAAGTGAGGCAGATCACAGGCACTACGAGAGCTGCACTGTGCTGGCCACGCCTGGTAGGACTGTCTAGTGAGGGACTAGACTCCTAGTGAGGCCTGTCACTGTGCTTAGGAACACCTGAAATGTTTTCTGTGAGAAGAGGGAAATTCAGGAAATGAACCCAGATGTTCCCACGGTGCCTGTTTGCATTACATTAAGACTGGCACCCACATGTCACCATGTCCACATGTTCTTTTTATGATCCAAAGACCAGGCCTTACAGATAATTCAGCAATAAGGAACCTTTCTGGCAGACAGTGGATCACAGCAGTAAATTAAAGCAAATAAACAGTGATTATGGGATTAAGATACCAAGGACAGTTCACATTTTTAGTTTCACCTGTAAGAATGGTAATTTCCAGGGAAGAATTAACATTCATCAAAGAAAGCCCAATGCCAAGATATAGACCACCATAAAGGGTTAGAAATTAGGGTCCTGGGAAGCATGACAAAAGTCACTCATCACTTTTTTGGGGTGGTTTTCTGACAGATGAAGAATTACTATTCATGTTTCAACGCTGCACCAAGCAGGTACAAGGTTCTAAAGAAAGGACAACAGTAAGAATCAAAATAGAAGGCACCTTTGTCTTTGGTCAAATGGTCCTAGCTTCCCTAGAACTGACACATACATACATATACACACAGAACACCACACAGACAGAGGCACAGAAAGAAAGACACACACACACACACGGAGACAGCGACAAGGAGAGAGAGAGAGAGAGAGACTCAAGGCCAGTGAGAACACCTGTGCTAGCTGTAGTGTAGTAGGTGTACTGTTCAAAATGTATTCCTAGGCCATTGCCCTTGACAATGGATAACCAAGGATATACAAACAGGGTATATTATCTATCCGTGGGGATAGGGATTGGCAAGTTTTGAGCAGGTTCAGTGACAAAAATTGGGGAATCTGACTGTCATCAGATAAGAAGCAGCAGGGAATGAACACAATACCCATTCTTCAGAAACAGATTTTTGTATCAGTCAGATGGGGACTCCAAGAGGGCAGAGCAGTGGAGAACTGGAGAGGTGAGATCATGCTGCCGTGTGATTGCCGCTGCACTGAACCAGGGGCCTTCGCCCAAGTTTACTGGAGGATTGGGGGGGGGGGGGGGGGCAAGCTGACACGTGCTAATGAGCTACTCCAGTGTTTTAAACGTTAATTCCAAATACACACATGGGGGGGGGGGTGAGGGAGGCGGTGTCATAATTGGCAGAGCTAAGAGAGCTTGGTAATGCTGACCTAAGCTGGGAGGATGAAGATCAAAGACCTTTGAGAAAAGCTGAGAAGTGGTCCTGATTGAGGAATTTTATCCTAAATTGTAACCTGTAAATTTCTCTAATAAATCTCTTAACTGTTAAGTATGGTTCTGTGAGCTCTGTGTGGTCATTGCAAGGAATTTTGGACCCAGTAGTAGTGTACTGAGAGTCCAGGAGGGACATTTGGTGCTGGAACTGGTAGAGATAGGTGCAGGGACGTGGGGACATTTCTGACCTGGTGGAAATAGAGCATGTGGGTGTTGCTCATGGCTCTATTGTTCCTTGTGAAGGAAGTGGTCAGATGCAGCCCTCCCTACACTGCCTGAGTGATTTTTTTTTACACTTGCTGACAACCTGAACTGAGACTTCTATCTCCAGAACTGGCAATACATTTTTATTTATTAAAAATAAATTACTTGTATTTTTTTGTTAATGTAGCACTAGCTAACAGACAATTCCTAAGTAATATATGATGGAGAATCCTTGTGCAAATTCCACAAGCAAATGGTGTTTATAGAGCTGAGTCACAGTGAAAGGCTTTCATCCTGATTTAGGTACACTCTAGCACCAAGTAAGGATCTAAGATGGCCCAGGAAAGTGTAAACAAATCCTAAAACCTAAGGCTAGATTAAACTCCTTTTTACTTTAGACTCCATTTTTTTCTTTAGCCATACTTCTATTACTTAAATGCAGCGGGATTTCTGTAAAACTGCCCTTTGCAAATCAGAATAAAGATCAGAAGAGAGTCAAGACGACAATGGATTGTTCTGGGACACTTGCCATCCAAGGGGTCTTGTTTTTGTCTAGCAAAGCATGATTTTATAAATGTGAACCAATCAGACTTTTCATTTTCACATTCCTAAATTTTGTTTTTTAAAGCTTGTGAAAAATTCACTTCCCAAAAGAGCTTAGTTCATTTCATGGACTCTCCCACACTCCATCCCTCCAATTCTAATAATCATATTTACTCCTTCAGTAAAAGTCACTATTTTGATTTGTAACAGAGATTCTAGTTTGTGCTCTGATAAAACATAACACAACCAATAACAATTACTTTCTGAATTACTTGAAGCTGATCTTTCATTCAATTCCTTGACCTCCTTAACCATAATCACTTTATCTTCCTTTTCCATCTCTGTTACCCAGTGTCCAACCTTGTCTTTACCACCTTGGAATCTGAATTCCTGACCTTAGGCTGCCACATCTGTTCCTCTGAGCTCCCAGCTCTAGAGACCCCACCGTCCTATGTATATCTGACTCGTTTTCAGCCTCCTGTTCACGAGCCCTGTCAATCTCTCCCTGTGTGTCTGTTTACTCGTCCTTTTACTTCCAGCCTTGGCTAGCTTTATTGCTTTGGTCTAAAATTATAATCACTCTCTCAGCTTCCATGCCTTCTTTTATATTTTGCTGGTTAAAGAACAAAACAAACACTTCTTTTCTAAAAAATTTTTATTTATTTATTCGCGTACCATCAAATTGGATCTGACTGATACAGGAGGCGATTGTTCCGCCTTCTTCAGCAGAGCATCTGGTGGATTTGAACCGAAAACAAACACTTCTATCCATCTTTTAGCATGATTTTACAAAACGTTCTATCTTGATCAGAAAAAAAAGAAAAATCATGGGAGTGAATTTCAGGCTTTATTTAAATTCAAGATTGTAAATAGAAAATAGAGTCAACACTGAACACTGAATTTCCGTCTTATAATTCCTTCTTCATAGATTTTTTAACTCAGTCTTAATAGGTTACCCTAATTCTTTTCCCCCCCTTTTAAAAATATTTTTTTATTGGGAAAAATATTGGTGTACAAGGAGGTGAGGGTTGGGAGCAGAAGGGTGAGGATGGGCCAGGATGCAGTTGCAGAGATGCACAGTTTGGTTGGTGGGGGGAGCAGGTGAAGGAAATGATGAGGGTCCAGTGGGGACCAGATGCTACAGAGGAATGACAAGCATTTTACAATGGTAATTAAACCAACTGTCTTATTGATTTGGGAATTCGATGCTGACTCTCTGGCTTCTTCATGCTGAACAGGGGCATAGATATAAAGGGGGGAAGGGAGGACGCTTTATCACCTTACTGGTGGTCTTGGGTTACAGCTGCTTGCCTTCTTTCTCCTGAGGGCCGCGACGGTTCGCCCCGAGCCGGGGGCCAAGTGCAGCCCTCCCCGGGTAGAAGGCCACGACGGCTCGCCCCGGGCAGAGGGCCGAGGGCAGCCCGCCCCGGGCAGAGGGCC